TGTATATAATAATAATATATGTTCTATATATATATATATATATATATATATATATACGTGTGTGTATCTGTGTATTGCTGTACTTGCGTATATATGAGTGTCCCTGGGCAACTCCATTGTCTCGTGAATGATATGTACATACGTATAGGAGTCCGTGCTTAGTTATTCAGTTATACTTCATAAAATGCAGACCATCACTTGCCAAAAAAATTACAGTCAATCTCATATCGATGTATAGCTCACATAGTCTACGAAGTCACTAGTGACTCGCAAGTCTTCTGCGCCGGTATATTACTGACCACGTCCTATGCCCAATCTGGCTGGCGATTCTAATGCTCTCACACAAAGTTTATTATCCTCTACGACTTTCATTCTGACGGTTGCACCGATGCGTGAGCTTCTTATCTACAACTAAAGGAATGTATAGCTGGCAGATGCATGCTAATGTATGTCAAACACTATCGTTTATAATCAGCTGGGGAAGAACAAGCATAAAGAGGACAAGGAAAAATCGGGTGCAGACAAAAGCAAGGACAAATCCAAGGACTCGAAGAAAGACAAGTCATCTAAGAAGGGCAACGCAGAACAGCCCGACACGGTCAATGCGCAGACGAGTGCCCCAAGCAATGTCAGCGTAAGTGAATTTATACACACACACACACAAACACACAAACACACACACACACACACACACACACATATATATATATATATATATAACTAGTTCAATTGATTTTAAAGTGAGGAGTCTCAGCAGGAGAAGCACGCGTTCATAAAAGTACACGCAATCACGATACCTATTTCTAATGGTTTGTTGTCATTTATTTAAACTCCAACGCTGTCCCCGAATGTTTGCATGCAAGATAGTCCAATACACTTCTGAAAATACTAGATTTTCGTGGCCTGTGATGTCAATTGTCGTTTTGGCCGCGTGTGTGCATTGATTTGCTTGTCTCAATGGCCTCAGATGTTTCAGACCGAAATGGCCGTGAGTACTTACATGTACCCCAAACTTTCTTGATCATAAATCTCATTGTATATGTACTTTCTATGGAAGCCTTCTATTCTCCTCAAATATTGGGTGTTTTTATCACACCGTCGATCTTAAAAATGCCCCAGCCCTACTTCATACCATTCGCATACCACGAGACAATAAAATATGGCTATCACGAGAACATTCTACATCACACTCCCACACTCCCAAGATGAAGTCTCCCCAGCGTATTCCGCATCAAGCTCACGCTCGCGCTCACCAGCTCCAATCATATCATAACAGATTTGACCCATTTTGCACCACGTCCTATCATACCAACTTCGAATCCTCTCATTGTATGTGTACACAGTTCACGCCAATTTATATCAGATTCAAAGCCATTCAAATCACTCACATGCACCATGGCGTGTATCTACGAAGATTATAACCAGCCCGCAACAGTAACTCACACCACATCATACGACCGTAGACTACCACTATCGCACGTCGCTCTCTCACAAACGTTATCCTATAGCAGAGAACCGCAGTCTAACGTCACGCACGCACATAAACACACACCAAATGATATAAACAACCTAATCATCGCACCAATACAGTGCCGCTCAATCACGCATCTATCGCTCGCACAACACCTATTTATCTCCACAGGCACCCGACGCCACGGCTTCGCCGCAAGCAGCCTCGGCACAACCCGTGTCGCAGGCGCACCCGCCAGGCAGCACTATGCTAGAGCCACCCAAGGCTGGCATCCCCAGCAACGTCAAGGCTAAGCTGGCCAAGGAGGTGGGGCTGTCTGATCTGCCCATCAAACGGCCCAATCGACGCCAGCATTCGTCTAGGTATATATATCCGCATGCCACTATAGTCATCAGTATTTGGTACTTTTGATTGCCTTTTGTGAGATATTTCTGTATGGTTTTATTTCCTAGTGCTATATGGCGGAGGTGCTTGTGTGCAACGTGCAAGCGTCTGAATGCACGGGTGTACAAATATACTCGGCGAACTGAGCTCGTGCTATGCATACCTTGCGTGCCATACTCTTTCTTGCTGAGATTATCTGATAAGCAATGATATTCCTGATTTCGGCCGTAGTTCCATTCCAAATCAAATGCAACAGGCTTACAAGGTTTAAATCTTGTGATTCTCTGAGTGTCCATATCAGAGGTCGTGTTAGTTTTTGTATTCGATTTCCTCTTCTAGTGTTTGGCCTCGTAGTTTTCCGTCTGATCGTACTTTTGTTTCTGACTCCATATATATATATATATATATATACACACACACACACACACACACACACACACACACTACTA